CCACTCCCTGGGGGAAGCTCTGACACCTTGGAGGGTTTCACCTAAAGTATCGGGGACAGTGGCTGTGGGATATAACGTGGAGTACAAAAAAGGGTACTATGAACTCACTAAAACATGATGAATATTATAGGGTTTCTGGGAAACTGAGGTTTTTATGGGTAAACCCAGAAAATTGCGATTCGAATCAGGATAACTATATGATTCCACTGGATAGACTGGGGGTTTTGGTAAGGAATCCCATGCTTGGGGCCAGGTTTCGAGAAACCACCATAAATTGTCAGCTCCATTCAAATGATTATGGGAGGTAGCTAAACATGCCATTCAGGGATGGTTCAGGCTTGTATTTCCATGATTTCCTCTGCAAAGATCACCCTGTGGGGGTGTTCATCAGCTACTGAACCATATTTTCCACCAGAAAGTGATGATTGAACTTGAAATCCAAGGAGGCCCGAAGGATGTGGGAATGGTTGAGCCATAAAAACATCTGGGCATGGGTAAAGTCACGAGGTATCCTAAAAATAGGATGGTCAAGTGAGTGGGCCCAGTGGGCCCCCCAGGACTCAGAAAGGCGACAAATTCATTGGTATCTGAAAAGCCTCCATAAGTTCGACCCAAATCCTATTCTCCATGTAACTGACTATCAATTGTATATATATATATATCAATTGTATATATATATATATATCATATATATATATATATTATGTATATGTAAATATATACAATTTAATGCTCAAATATATCACATGTTTTGATGGTTCATATCTTCATAAACGTGACCCAGAACCATACATAACGAGTGAACAATTGCAATATGCTGACCGACTATGAATCATCAAGAAAAACACATTATTCAAGATGATTCATCATCATTCCGGAAAAAAAAAAAACTACGTCCATACCCATCATATTCCCATCAGTCCCCCTACCACTTTGCCAATGCAAGGTACAATGCGCGGTGGAGAATCCGCCTCTGGCACCTCTGTGAGCCATTTCTCTCGGCAGGTTGGAGTGGCCTGGGGGAAGGTGGCTTAGCCATGGTTAGCCAATGACTTTGGGATCTAAATGAGATTGAATCATCTTAGAAACTGTTCATATCCTCTTAATATAGTGTATATATCCAGTTCTGGGTGGCTTGTTTGGTGCTTTCACTGCAGTATGAGGTATCTTGCCAGGCTTTTTTTCGGGTGACGCTTAAAGAGTTGCGATGGTCGGGGCCAAGTTGTGGAACAAAGAGAAGGCCTCTGGGAACATGCCAGTGGATACCAATGAAGATAACATGGTCAACACCAGGCCGCCAACTCTAAGTCATTGTCAATAGGTTCAAAGTCGCGAGAATTTCTTCAAGTTGTGGACCTGAGTATCTTATATCCACTCAAATGCTTGAAATTTATCAAGAAAACCATGGGCAAACCGATCAGTTAAGGACTGTTCTAGATTCAATGAAAGCCACGTAGCACTGGAACGAATCGACCCCCTTCCCCAGCGAAGTTACTCGACCAAGGCGTCGATTCTTGGCTTTGCTGAGAAAATAAAGTCCCAGCCCGGCCAAATGACCTGCGACCTCGGTCTTCAAATCCCATGTGTCCTTTTGGGAAAAAACATGTCGCCATCGGTTTGGTTTTCCATGGTTTACCATTTACTGAAATGTAGTGTAAGAATAAAACCAATCATAAAAAACCAGGTAACTAGTATTACCTAGTAGTATTAAAACCATGTACATAGCAGTAAATGGGAGACCCCTTTTCAAACAGCCAAGCAGTTGAAACAGGAGGGCATCGGGTGCGACGTAAGTAAGTCGATGAGCTTAAGAGTTGGATTTAGGCTCTGGCAATGGAAATATCATCCCAACACGGAAATTGTCCACTGCAAGATTCATGAGAGATCTTCAAGAGGCAAAACACGTACAGTAATTAGCTAATGTGTAGTTTGCAACTTGAAATGAATTGAATCATGCTGGCCAGAGTCATTGCAAGGAACTATATACAAAAAACAAACATGCAATACATGTTTTTGTGGAAGCATGTCATCCAACAAATGAGCTGAGACCGAGGATGACATGCTTCCACAAAAACATTTATTGTATGTTTGTCTTTTGTATATAGTGTCCTGAAGTGATCCTGCCCCAGTTTGGTGACTCAAAGCACCTTAAGTCCTCTCCTCTTCGATTAGGATTCTAGGAGGATTGCACATACAAAGGCTAACATGACTTCGACTAACCAGTCACCAGTCACGGGACCCCATGGCACAACAAATATATCTGTCTAGTCTAGACATGTCTAGACCATCCTGGATCCTCCAGCTACCCATACAATGTGCAATTCCTCCATATCTCCATAACTTAAGATTTTTGGCCAATGTTTGCTGGTCAACTGAGGGAAACATGTATCCAATTCATGTCAAAGAACTATCCATAGGTGAGAGCGCGGCACGCTGCCATTGCTTCCCATGGTAGGCAACTGGAAGAGTTCTTTTTCGAAGGAAACCCATGTTTCGTGATGCATGGCAGAATCTGGTCAAATATGAAAATCTTCGAAATGCTTGGGAATCCTGTTTGGAGATCTGATCTTACACAGTCTGAAACACGCGACGTCTACGTCTTCGGCATTTGCTAAAAAAATGGTGGCAGGTCTGAGGATCCAGATGAGACATAGCCTGGAACTTTAACAGAACTTTAATCGTAAACTCAACTGAAACAGCCCAAAAAGCATGAAATCAAACTACCGAACCAAGAGCAGTTAAAGATCCAACGGCTTAGGGACAGACCAGGACAGGTAGCTCTTGACCCGAACTTCGCTTGGAAAACGTTAGAGCCATTTAGGACATCCAACCACCCCAGTCTGGATTGCACCATATGGTTCTGAGGGTGGGAGCTACAAAAATGTCATGACAAATTCAAACTTGAGGGTTTCGAATTTGTTATTCACTGTTATACATGTTTATACAAAGCTTGATGAGGGATGTCAGGGGGCTTTTCAGTTTCAAAAACATCTTATTTTCAACCAAGTGGAATAATCAGTCTTAACACAATGTCAAATCCTAAAAAAATCAATGATACCATCTGGTTATTTAACATAGCCATGGAACATCCCTTATAAATGGAGGTTTCTAGCTGGGAAAATCATCTATTTCTATGGGCCATTTTCCATGGCTATGTTAAATAACCAGAGGGTAGGTTGAAGGTCCTTCCTCAGTGCAGGATTTGAAAAAGGGGATTGCTTCCATGGCCTTGACCATGTGATGTTGAAAAAAGATGGATGACTGGATGCCATTTTTTTCCGGCAGCTAATTGGCAGCAACATATCCACCATTCAATACAAATATATAGAATATGCAATTGATTTTCAAGAGTAGGCGGTTTTCCAGCCAATCATGTTTCATGACAAAATGGTATTATAGTACAGCCAGGTGGAGATGGCAGCAAAGCCGCAATTTCTTTGGAACAGCAAGCCGGCAGCTGCGCCGCTGCGCGATGGATTTTTGATGTTCTAATGGTCTGTCCACTGGGTCCATGGTCAACTCATGAATACAGTAGCTGAGTCACCCATCCCCAAAGTCAAGTGGGATCATTGTTCCAGAAATGGATGAAATATATAATGTTTCAAACCAAGCAATTACAAAGTGGCGACATCCCGACTATTGTCTCAACATGGGTCAAAAACGTGTATGTATATACATATATATATATAATAATATGAATGTGTCTTATCTCATCTGTAATGCTGGTCTTATTTTCCCACGCATGGATCCAACGAAGGGTTTCTGGCGCGATCCTACAAGACCTCCAACTCCTCGAAGTGCCCGTCCTCAGAGCCGGCCATGGGTCAGGCAAGCTACTTCCGTTGATATTCTCCAGAACCCCTGGAGGTATCAAAGCCGTAATCAGTGTTGGAATTACGGTGGATAAGCATGTTACCATCTGGTTATGACTAACAGTTCGCCATGGAAAATCCCAACCATAAATGGAGGTTTCTAGCTGGGAAAATCATCTATTCTATGGGCCATTTTCCATGGCTATATTAAATAACTCGAGGGTATATGTGTGATTTGTGATTTTATCATATAATATGTATGTATAGATATCCAGCTGAATTGGTTCCTAAAACAACTTTTTACGTGGGAGAGGCCACATTGGATATTTACAATGTTAACAGGCCATCTCCAAACACTAGTTTCAATATGTTTCAATGTTGGGGAAATCTACAGGTTTCTTGATCCCCTGCTCTTATTTTGAGTGGCAACGGTAAACCCATCCCAAGTCTCCAAAAACCAGGTAGGGCTAGAAATCCAGAGTATCCCCAAGCACTGTTGAAGTACCCTCTGGTATTGTGTGGGAAAACTCACTATAAATGACCATTTTCAATAGCTATGTTAAATTACCAGAGGGTAACCTTCCCGTCTCACCGATAAAATCTCCAAGGCGCCCGCGCCACTTGCACATCCAAGCCCTCGCTGTGCCACAATCGCCGGAGCTCTCGGTTCATGTCGTGATGCTCCCCTGGTTCAAGGTTGTTCCCAACGCAGGCACCGTATTGAGGGGTTAAATTTAGGTGAATTTAAAGGTCAACTTACCAATGTCCCGCCTTGTTAAAAAAACACCTATAACCTCCTATAACTGCTTGGAACAACTGATACAAGAGATTGTTTGCTAGGGATTTCAACAATGGGTTGTACAGTATATGCAAGACATCATAAAATCAGTTCACATGACCTGATGTAATCATCAATCACCAGGATTTTTGTGCGCGATGCTCACCTGAAACCCAGCCGTGACCCTTCGTGTTCCAGGCCCCTGCTATGGTTGGCTGAGAGGATTTCAACAATCCGAATGTCACGAGTCCATGAGGTAAAGAAATAGAATCCCACGTGACTGACAAACGACAACCCAAGAATAAAAATGGCTGAAGAAATAGAAGTATAGGGTCATTTGAAGACAGGGCATCATCCACCCCAAGAGGAATGACAGACCTACCACAATGGAATGGCAGCACTGGGTGATCATAACCCTATCATTACCCAAAGTCGTCGCTCCAAGCAGCGGAAATGGCACATGCCGACGAAGAAGGCCTGGCCGTCCCAGGTAACGCTTCTCAGTCTCGTCTCATCAATCAAATGCAAAATAGGGCCATCTGCGATCAAACAGGAATCGCCAAATACTTTTGAAGGATGCAAAGGTCTTAATCAATACAGCACTCTCATGTATATATATATACATGTGATATTATAGACACATGTAATTTAATCATATGGTAATATTATATATATTGCATTATATATATAATTATATATATACACACTGTATATTACTGTATATGTCATATATCTTTGCAGCCTCCATGTCATCATCATGTCATCATGTTTTGCTTCCCGTAGGCACCTTGCGCGGTCGGTAGCGTCGCACGAGTGCGATAGAATCGTCCAGGTTGGCGTGCACAAGAGCCTTCTGCGAGCTCGGAAAGAGCATGTCCAAAATCATCACCTGCAAATGGCCCAGTAATGGATACCCTCTGGTAAACTGACATAGCTATTGAAAATGGCCATAGAAATAGTGGATTTACCCATTAATAGCATGGTGATTTTCCAGTTCGCTATGTTAAATTACCAGAGGGTAACATAATCTAACATAAGCTATGGAAAAAAAATTCATGATAGTTGGAATTGGAATATAATGATGATAATGATGATATAATGTGGGAGTATAATGATCGATGGGATTTCATGGGATTTCATGGGATAATTATCCGATAAACCCAGGACATATGGATTTCAATGGGCCATAAATCATCACCATGGACATATAGCAATAAAAAAAGGGGATGCCACCATGGAAATGTCAGGCTCCTTCTTGGGGAAGATATGGGAAGTGTATGTTGCTGGTACCAATAGCGTGGTGCATTTTTTGGCCGAACGTTCAAACTGTGGGACTGACCCAAAACCGTAACCCCCATGTTTGAGAGGTTACAGAAAGAATGAACAGATAATTCGGGAACACAGAAGTTTCTTTTTTCCGCACCACAAAAGGGATCTACGCCGTCTCCATTGCTCTGACGATTGTGGAGATTAGTGATTCGATGAAGTGGTTTGGAACTGGGTTACAACATATTACAACCACTAAATGTAGCCCCTTGCAACAGGATCTGGATCGTAAACCCACTTCCTGACTTGTAAGCAGTGATTTGCAGGATCCAAGTTACAGGGTTCACATGCACACACACACATTATCAATAGTGACTAGCTGATGATCAATAATGACTAGTTGATGACCAATTACTAGGTACCGATAGAAACGGCTCATAATAATACTCTAATGGGGTACCAGCAATAGGTTACAAGCAATGTCTGTTTACAATCATAATGATGACCATATTATAATAACAACAGTAGCATCGGCATTTGGGTGGGGTACCAAATAGTAAAGCGGCAAACCACCCAGAAATATGAATGTTGATGATCACTTGAAACACCATGCAGTCAGAGGCTTTGACTGCCAGAAATTGGAAATCTCGATGACAAGTCACAATCACAGACATACATATAAGTTTCAACAAACAAAACTGGGGATATGGATCCATATGGGATGTAGCAGTATGACTGCAGGACCTATTTGTTGTGAACATGCATTCTAAACATAAACACCTGGCAGTCGATCAAATGGTTGTCTAGCCGGCTACTAGCGGGTCTGAATATATAGGTGAAAAACAAACAAAGAGGACCAATGCAAATTATTCTACAAAACAAATTGTAACACGATGCAACGGGTATATCATATCCTAGCAAGTATGGCAATGGTCAAAATTAGTCGAAAATCAAGACCCTAAAAAAAGTCATAGATTATCTCCAATTCATATGATTTTCAACCATTTCTACCTCCATTTATAGGCTATTTCATGCTATTTCCTAGCCATGTTCGAGGACCCCGAAGGGTACCGATTTTAGTCTTGGGGTATCCAGCTTCGGCAACTCATCGCCTGTCACTATACCTGGCAATGCATTGGTGTTTATATATAATAAAATAACTACATGTACATCATGTACATCATGTAGTATATAGCAATATATATATATAGCAATACATAATATATTATATATATTTATATTTATATTTATTAGATAATATATATTCATATATCTTATGTATTAAACATCATTACACAGTATGCCAATAGTTATGTGCTTGGCCTTGCAGGTTCCGGCGGTTCCGCCAAACGTGTTCTGGCAATGCGTGGCAACTTGCCCTGTGATGTGAACACACTCGAGAAACCATCTTCCATAGTGAACCCAAAAGAAGAACAATTTCTAACAATTGTTTGCTGGTTGGTGGTTTCACCCCCTCTGAACAATATTAGTCAATGGGAAGGATTATCCCATATATTATGGAAAATAACAAACATGTTTGAAACCACCAACTAGTTTGGGTTATCCAGTCAAAAGTAAACAAACTTAGGGATGGACATCCATATACCTATTTGCTGTGAAAAACAAGGTACCATTTGGTTTAAATCCATCACATTCCATCACCATATTCTTACGGCAGCAGTGCGTGCCAGGCTACTGCAATGCCATCCTGGCTCCAATGCTCCAGTAGAGTCTCCGTTCTCGGCAGCAGTTCCGTGTAGTCGGAGATGTAGACGACTTCTGCGGGCGATCCACGGGAGGTTGCGGACCAAATAAACCATGGACTTGAGACACACACGACTGGATCTTGGTGGTGACTACATTATGATTCTATATGATAATCCTTCATGAAAATCACCATCATTTGTTTCTTAGAGTTTGTTGACTTTTGTTGGTAATTATATAAATCATTCTCAGGTCAATGACCATCACCAGAACTTCAATTATAGAAGTCTTTGCAGAACCATCTCGACTTCCGCCAAGCAACTAGAGCCCTTTGGCCCAAAACCGTAGCCAAAACTCACCTGACGTTGCTCAGAGTTCGTGTAGCACCATGAGTTCGTCAACAAACCAATCCATCTTTCCAAATATCTAAAGAATCCTAATGATAGCATCCTCTTTCCACATGCTTCAGAGCCGAACAAACAAAACAACTTGGCTAAAATGGCTCAGGCACATAGTCCGCACCATGCAAAACGGGCAGGGCATGGATCATGAGTCCCTGTACTTCGAAGGGTGAAGTATCTTCAGGCACCTCCTGTCAGTGCAGCGGGGGAATGATTCAGGCAGCATCCACATCTTGTTTTCGACTTATTTTTGAAGAATCAAAACACATCAATTTGTTCTTGATATTTTCTCTCTTCGGTCCGGACAGCAAACCCTCAAAAGGCAATAGTAATATTTAATAGTGGCTCAGAACCGCACTGATTTGGGAAAACTGCAGAAAAGCCACCAAAAAGTGCCAACCAAACATTGGACCCTGGACTTACAACAACCCCAGGATGAATTTGATGCAACTCTTTCAGTAACAGCTTCAATGCTATGAATTCAGCAGAGATCAGTGGTGGGAGCCAGTGTGAAATAAATTGTAAGAGAATTGCCGCCAGCTAGGGTCTTTCTGCTTTGCTAACGTTAAAGCAACAAATCAACAAATACCGCAAAAATGGCTCCCCGATCAACGAAGACAATGTTGGTAACAAGTGTGTGTGTGTGTTTTTTGTCAGGGACTATGAAAACATCAATGCAATCTTGCCCTATGAACAGTGCTGCCAGTATCTGCCAGTGAGCAGTTGCACCAAGCACGTGACAGTGCAATAAGCCCTTCTTTGGAGCTCTTGCTGCCAGGGAACAAGTAAGGAAAAGCACGGCCTCGAGATTGCCATCGTGTCCAGACAAGTGGACTCTGCACGGGGCAAGTGATTTCACACGCGTAAAGATCTATGGGAGCAACAGGAAAACCTTAAAAACTGCTGACAGGACTAGATGTGGCGACACTGTGATGTCTCACACTTCAGGAACATCTTTGACACATCTGTCTACTGTCGCCTGTGGCAACCTAGCAAATGCCCCTAGGAGCTGCAGACTCAACTGTGTTTTCAGGCCCAATTGAAAGACATCGCGGGCCAAACCTCGCAACCCAGTTGGGGTGTAGTTTTGCGATGCCATTCTTGGAGCAACGAAAGTTCAACATACGGTTACCCAACAATCAGTTTTGCATTTCATCCGTCGATCTGATTTGTTCTCCAGTCTACATTCATACCTTGTGCCAAATCCCTATTCTTGTTGCTTCAGTGCCTCCTTCAATTCTACCTAGATCCTCAATTTACCTGAATTTACACACACCAAAAATGATTAGACAATGTAATTGCGATTAATTTGAGTTACGCCATAGTTTTAATACGTTTACCATCTTTCACTAAAATTTCGAATTGGCTCGAGGTCCCCACACCCAAAATGCCTCTGAATGGCCTATACCTTACCAGGACCTCAAGTCAAGTAGCGACAGTGCCGCATGGTCCGGGCATCACAGAAACATTGGATGGGAGGGCCACACCTTGGCTGCTGGTTTTGTCCTGGAAAACTGGTCATCGCTGGGAGCCGTAGCTAGCGGATAGAAAGGCCATGAGTTGGGTAGGACAATCACTTCTCAGGAGATATCAGGAGATATTAGGAGCATTTGGGATCCATAGGGCCAAAATGAGATTGAACATGATTGAATATCAGCCAGCGGATGGTGGATTTACCGCGACCCCGAACGCTTTTTCCATGTCTGATTGGCCAGTCATGTGTATAAAGAACCTGCCAACATCTTTCAAACTATATCTAATATACATTATATATATAATATACATAATATATATAATATATAATGTAATATATATATAATATACCCAAGACCAACCCTTTCATCTAGGATACCATATATTTTTTTATACACACATTGAGGACCATCATTATAAATGATGATGAGACTGGACAATCAACTGCGCTCCAAAAGCTCCAATGAAATGCACCCATTTCTGGTGGAAAAAAAAAACACATTTCTATCTACCCTCTGGTTATGACTAACATAGCCATGGTATAGATGGCCCATAGAAATAGATGGTTTACCGAACTTAAAAATGGTGATTTTCCATGGCGAACTGTGAGTCATAACCAGATGGTAATACAACACAATTCCGCATTCCTTACACACTGATCACACTGTGTTTAGCAGTCATTTTGGGCTACCCTGGACTACCCGTCTTTTGGGCTACCCCCGTCGAGCCGAGCCACACTTGTCTGGTGGCATTGTCAAAGCGCTGCAACTGGCGCAACTCGTCCAGGCCTCACAATCCCAGCAGTGGATGGTAGCCATGGTTAGTCCCCCCCAAAAAAAACTAGAACCCCTAGGCTTCATATGGCTTTATGATGCTTTATATATTATATGTCATTCCATGTGTGCTTATCAGGTCTGACTCGACGTATATTTGAGGTACTCCCTCACTTCATCAGCGAAGGGTGGAACGACACCCATAGTTTGCCATGGGCATGCAGCTCAATGATTTACCATGATTTTCCATGATTACCATGATTTACCCTTTGCTGTGGAGGTCTTCCATAGCATATTCTTAGATTACCGGTATCACTTTCCCAAGGCTTTCCACTGAGGCCAGAACCCAAAATGGCATCTGCATGGTCGTGAGTCAACAGAAGAGCATCCAAAAAATCAACCTCACAGGATCGATGGATCACTGGAGTCGTTGGCACCAAAACTGCCCCAGTCTTGTCACTTTTCTCGTGTGGAAACTTGCGCGGAAACTTGCCATACTTTTTCTACACAACAGAGCAGATCCAGTAGAGAGAGATGGGGATGGCATGAGTCCCCAAATCCTGGGGCTCAATTTATGGATACCATTCATCCTGGAGAAAAAATGACATTATATATCTATGAAGATGTTGTTTCAATGATATTTAATCATGGATTATTCATGATTACTTCATATATCATATGATCTATAATTATATGTTTTTGTTGTTGTTCTTTTTTAAGGCACTGATATCTAGGGAGATCTTTCAATATTTTTCGTTCATGATTCAAATTTCATAAATCTTTCCCCAGCCCCATCCTGCCTGATGTTCTTTGTACCACAGCATCACGGATTCCCGGAAGGTCTTGCCGCAGTCGATCTGCACGTGTCGCCACGTACCATCAGGATGGAGCCAACGAATCAACAGACCCACATTGTTCCGCCAATTTGGATCGCGGCGGCCGTTGCGCACCGCGACGTGACCTGCGACCCATACGACGCGACCCGCGGTCGCATCCATTGATATCCAGTGGTTCATGGGGGTACCATGTCTTCAGACCAACTCAAGTCTGGAATCATGCGGTCAGTCGTCAAAGGGATGTTTCATATTCCAAAATTTGGGACTTTCCAGCCACAAGTCCATAAATCCGCGGTTGACATACTGGATTACGTTCAGAATCGGCATTCTATCATATTCTATCCTGATTTTTTGTTGAACATCAGTGATTTCTTTGATAATTTCTAGATATTTCCAGGTACAGGGTATATCCAGTGATTAATCTAGCCCTCGGACCATCGAGTCTCTGTCACCATTCCAAAGCAATTTCTGAACAATAGAGTATTACCCAACATCCAACCGGCGCATCATCACTTTGCTGATTGAAATGGCCATACATTGGAGGTATCGTCTAATTTTCAGATGAACCGATGCCAGATTGTTTGTTTCAGTGTGCCTATATTATCTAAGCAAATATTCTTAGCATTCTCCCATCATACATATACACACATATTGTAGTCATATGGTTTCACATCCCCAATTTCGGTCAATATCACTTGTCCTTATCCCCCAGAACATATCCAACTCCACATGTGTAGTCCCTTTAGGTTGGTGGAGCTGATGCTTGAGAACGGGATTCCCTCAATATTGGTCAGTACAATACTCACATATTCTACTGAGTCATATTATATAATGAGTATAGAATATTATTCTATATAGAATATATAATATTGTACTAACATATTCTCAGTCTACAAAGTCTATAATATTTCTATACTCATTCACCAAGACTTTTGTTTCCATTGCTTCAACTGCAGCGAAAAATCAGGGCGTTCCCCAAGCCGCCGGCCCCAAGCCGCCAGGTTACAGGACACACAGCCCTCTTCCCCGCCCTCGCCCAGCACGCAGCGGATCTGCGGCTGCGCGAAGCTGCTGCCGGTGCCGGTGAAGAGGATCCCAGCGGCACGGCGATCACGGCGAGAGCCGAAGCGTTGAGAGAAGTGGGACAAGAAGTCCCAGGCGGCAGCGAAGCATGACATGAAACACAATTTTTATAGGATATAAATATCATTTATATATATAATGGAATATAATGGATATAGAATATATAGCAGCATATTATAGTATATCCATCTAGTATTATACATTTATTCATATTATAGTATATAGAAATCACCTGCGAAGTGGTGTGGTGACATTACCAGCATCTATCCTTCAGATCATTTTTTTTGAATACCTTAAGTGCTGCCACGTTCCGCTGTGAATATTCACCATACACCTTGTCGAAACGACGGCTGCTCGATGGCTCAAACGACTGCACATCATATGCTGGCTGAATCAACCAGAAATACACAACACTCAAATATGGCAGTGTGTCAAAACCAATAGTACCCCTGTAGTTCACATCAAAATAGCTGGTAAATGGATGTTCATCCCACTAAAAATGGTATTAATAGGTTAATAGGTATTGATCCATAGCCATAATATATATATATGAACCTAGTTTGTGTTGGTTTCTCGCATGTAACGCATATACTATAATTTGACGCTCGTTGTGACGTCCTACTGCAAAGCCAGATTCAACGGAGGAGGCTTCTGATCATAGGATGAAACGGAATCAAACAATCAGACATGGCTTGCTGGAAAATCGCTCACTTTATTCGATGATTTTGAATTAAAACCTCCAGGATTTTCCAGCTAATTAGCCATGTTCGATTACCGGAAGGTAATTGCTCGTTTCAAAAAAAATCTGCCAGGAGTTCTGACACAAGAAATGCTCTGACAAGCGTTCAAGGCCGAAGCAATCGGCCGCCATGTTTTTTTGCTGTCGCCAAGTGTATTGCCGAAGCATTGGGCAACACCCTTTGGTCACCACAATTGCGTGAGCCGCGTTGCTGGCCTTGGCCTTGGCCGCCATCCATGATGCCGTTGCTACCATATAGAACGAGATTGTATGGTACGGGGTCATATCTGTCACTACGAGTGGTTACTATATATTCAAATTCAAATTTGTTTGCTTCTATCCCAATATGTCAGAATTATATTCCATGAATTCTCAATGCATCTAATCGCCAGTAGCAGTGCTTGGGTCTCGGATCAGTGCGTCACGTGGTTGCCAAACCCGAGCACCGGAACCGAAGCGGAATGGAACCCTCGCACCCCTTCTGCTGTTGGGTGGCCAAGCTGGATTATATATGTGTATAATATATATATATATATATATAGTATCTATCTATATATATATATTATGTATATAATATATAAATTTACATATCATACACTTGTATTCCCATGTTTCTTGGAGAGATACTCCACCATCGTTTCTGATGGTTGGTTGCATTGAATGACATGAAGTTATTTCTTGAATATTTCAAATTTCAATACGTTCTATCAAAAAAAGGTGGAGCGTTGTTTACAATAATACCTCCACATGGGTTGAACTCCATTGAGGGGTAGGATGATGATGGGTATGATGATAATAACTCCATTTACAATAATACCCCCATATGGAGCGTTGGGTATTTTTAAATGTTGGTCTACTATTCTTTGTTGAGAAAATCTGCCCCTGTGAAAATGGTCCACTCAACATGTTTCATTGCTTCCCCGGTTAGCCTTGGCGAGTCATTTTCGGAGAGGTTTGACCGAAATGGGGATATCAAACGTCGAACAGGGAGGTTGAACCTACAGAAATAAGATGAGACAGGGATATCACACAAAAGAAGTCATGATGATGATGATGATGATGATGATGATGCTGATGATGATGATGATGATGAGGAGGAGGAGGAGGATGAGGATGAGGATGAGGATGAGGATGATGAGGAGGATGATGATGATGATGACGACGAAGACGACGAGAAGGATGATGATGATGATGAGGATGACGAGGATGATGAGGATGATGAGGATGATGAGGATGATGATGAGGATGATGATGATGATGATGATGATGACGAAGGCGACGAGAAGGATGATGATGAGGATGATGAGGATGATGAGGATGATGAGGATGATGAGGATGATGGGGATGATGAGGATGATGATGAGGATGATGAGGATGATGGGGATAATGATGAGGATGATGAGGATGATGAGGATGATGGGGATGATGGGGATGATGAGGATGATGATGAGGATGATGAGGATAATGATGAGGATGATGAGGATGATGAGGATGATGAGGATGATGAGGATGATGAGGATGATGAGGATGATGAGGATGATGAGGATGGAGGAGGAGGAGGAGGAGGAGGAGGATGGTTAGGATGACGATGGTTAGGATGACGATGGTTAGGATGACGATGGTTAGGATGACGATGGTTAGGATGACGATGGTTAGGATGACGATGGTTAGGATGACGATGGTTAGGATGACGATGGTTAGGATGACGATGGTTAGGATGACGATGGTTAGGATGAGGATGGTTAGGATGAGGATGGTTAGGATGAGGATGGTTAGGATGAGGATGGTTAGGATGAGGATAAAGATTGTGATTTTGATGATGATTGACTGGGTGTATGGTATATAGTTGGTCTTGTTAGGATTCCAAATTCATGGGTTGATTCAAATTCTTACAAGCACACTGGTTTCGCTGGCCAGTGTTGCTTGTGAATGGGATGAACATCTTGGTAATAGCAAAGCAATTTGGGGACCTACACACATTACCCTTTGAAAAAAAACTCACCTGCAGGTTCACATGGATCCAAAAAACCAGCCGTTCACAATCTCAGGTCATCCGTATTGCTGCAGACGGTATGTTTTCTGGAATGTCAGGTTAGACTAGAAATTCCCAAAACCAGAACACCCAAGAATCCAATGGTCGCTCCTGATTGTCCGTATTGAAATTGCCAGTTTGGGGGTGTACCCCAGTACCCCATGTCAGGAAAACAATGAGGGGAAATACCTGGCTGATTGGCCGGTGAGGCTTTACTTCAGTGAAAAAACATTGCATCAGTTTGCAGGCATGCGGCATGTTTCATAATTTCCAGATGTGTTTTACCTAGAGAAGGAATACTGTATTGTCAGAAAGGAAGAGTGCAACCTAAAATGATTGAATAATTCTTGAACAGAGGTCTAGTTCCAGGCTGCCACGTGTTTTTTTCGGAATATTGTGCGGAAGTGTTACCCTTTTAAAGAACTATTTCCTACTTTCAAGAAACATGGGCATGTTTTGCTCAATATCAAATGGGTTCTTTGAGGGATGGAACATGCAGGCGAGCCAGTTCTAGCACCTACCGGGTACCAAATTCTTGGCACCGGGTGAGAAATCCGCGGCCCTGGGTACCAAACAACTGCAATCCATGATATGTCAAGAAGCTCAATGTTAAAAGGAGCAGCTCAACATCTGTTGACATGAACAACCTCCAACTTTTTGAAGCGCTCACAACATGCCCAACTTTCGGTTGGCCAAGTCTCTCTTCGCATCTGTCGGCGTTACCTTGTGGATTGATCCCCGGATTTTTTTCGACAGTCACCACGGTTTAGGGGAACGGGGGATGGGATTGCTTTCACTGGGTTGATTTTTAGGGGAACTCCATCCAACCATACGGGCCTCCTAGTCGTCCTATAAGTTTGTAGTGACCCTGGAGCTGATGCTTCGACTGGGTACGCATGAGTATGTTGCAATTGTATTCAATAGTGATGTATACGGATATGTGTGTGTGCGTCTATAAACATGCACAGTTTCTGCACAATCTCATCATTTTCCACCACGTCCCAAGGTTACGAGGGATGAGAAGACAACTGAAATTGACCCTGGACTCCTGGACCTACCAAAAACTCTGCAAACCAATAGGCAAATGGCCATGGGTCTCAGTCATGTACTTTGATGGGAATCGCATTGCCCAACTCATTCCATCTCATTGATTGGGAAAATCGTGTTCCTCATTCTTTGATGGCCACGAATTGGGAGTACATTCCCATATATTCCCCTTTTTTGCCAGGTGTACACATATCCCATGATACCCATGATATTCTCCCAATCTAGGCTTCTTCTATTCTCCCAATGTGGGGGTTTCCAAAA